AAAAAAAAAAAAAAGATATAAGGGAAAAAGAGAGACTATGAAGTTTAAAGGGGCCAGGAATGATGAGAAGGCAGAGGGGGGCATTTCTTGTGCTTGAAAGGATTAGCCACTTAGCATGAACCATTAAGAAGAAACCACAAAGGGAACTGCTGAGCCCAGCATCCAAGCAGCCGATGCCGATGTGCCCATACTGCCCTGGCTAACCTGCTGTTATCAATGCAACATCCTGACATCTCCCCAAACTGGCACAGATAAATCACCTGTTAAATTTTTTTCCTTTTAGGCTGCCAGGAGGCACGAGTCTTTAACAAGTCTGAACTTAGAAAAGAAAGCTCGTCTGAGAGAGGAAGCAGCAGCAATGAAGGACAAAGCAGAGTAGCAGAAGTATCCACAGTGGCTAGATTTTGAAAATCCAGGAGTAATGTTGCAGCAACAAGCCTGTATTGAAAAGAGAATGGTATGAGGATGCATTTTATGGAAGTATTGTTTGCACAAACTTACTATTTCTGCTCTAGAGGTACAAATAAATTTTCTTAAAGAAGGACTTGTCTTATGTTTTGTGTCTTTGATCAAGTGAAATGCAGTCTCTCAGCCTTTTGGACAAAATGAAAGAATGGAAAATGAGATAATTTATTTCTATTACTTCAGATTCTTGAGAAAGTCAAATCTCATTACCAAAGTGATTTCTCCCCAAAGAACACAATGTCCTCTAGTTCTCTGACAGTGCAAACCATCTGCACTTGACTACTGACCTAAAGGTTGGTAGTTCAAACCCACCCAGTGGTACTGTGGAAGAAAGGCCTGGCAATCTGATAAAGATAACAGCCAAAGAAATCCCATGCAGCAGTTTCACCCTGTTACCCATGAGGTTGCCATGAGTTGGACGTGATGACAGTGGGCTTGCTTTTTCTTCTCTGTACTCGTTTCTGGAGAGATCAGGCCTGCCAGCTGATGACACTGCCCAGGTACACCTTGGAGGTAATCTCTCTACCTGCCTTGAGGCTCCACAGAGCTCTGGGAAGCAGCCAGACCATACTCCATGTCATTGTAGGGTGTGCTGTCCATTAGGACAGAGGCTGTTAGGAGGGCAGTTTCTGAGTAAGTCCTGGCAAAGTAAGAAGTGGTCTGGCCATGAGTCCCTGAGAACTAGAAATCCCAGCATCATGGCGTCTGGGGCAAGCTTGGGCACCTTTTCTGCTCCATGGCTTAGAATTCCCAACTTGTCCTTTTCCTGCTGCTTTTACACTCAATTTCTTAATTGTGAAAATCTCTAATGTATTTTCTTATTAGTATTGAAATATAAACATTTGCACCTGATATATATCTCATCTGTAGTTTGACTTACTGTCTCATATTTAGGTATGGATGCTGGTTTCTGTTTTACATGATTCACTTATTCTCACCTGCTTCACGAATATTAATGGTGACAAGTCCTCATAGCCATGCCAACATGCTAGTTCTCCCCAGGTCACTGCTGGGGAACTTAGTTTAACGAAATAGTAAAATGTGATGTGCTACTCTACCAATAGCTTCATAATCTATCTGATAACGTTAATGATGTCTGCCTGCAAAGTACAGACTCATTTGACCTTTCTTTACAGATAGCAAGTTACATGATTTTTATCACTTGCAAAATTATCATCAAAAGGCATTGTAGCAACTGGGGTATTAAAAGCTTTCAAGCAGCCATCTAAGATGCAGCTAATGGTCTCCTATCATCAGAAGCAAAGAAGAGTACAAAAAAACAAGGCCATTTGGAAGCAATCAGCCCTAGGACACGATGGCTCTCAAGACCAGAAGAACTAAATGGTGCCCAGCTGCCAATGCCAATCACTCAGGAAAGGATCAAATCTGGAGATCCTGGATATAGTGGGAGGAAAAACATGGAACAAAATCCAGAAACTCAGTAATGACCAGAATTACTGGTCAAGTGGAGTCTGGAGAGACCCCAATACTATGGCCCTGGGATACATTCTGGGCCTGGAATAAAATGCACCCCCAGGGGCTGGCTCTCAGTCCAATAGTAAACAAGATGTACACGCAGACCACTCAACCCAGGGTGACGCACCCATGTACTCTATGGTAATACATCCCTTGGAGCGATAGACCACAGGGGCACCAGAGGAGCAACATTTGCAGGAAGGAAATGCAGGACACACAGGAGTGCATAACTATGAGGGGCATGGGGGGAGGGGCAGAGAAGGGAGGAGACTGGGTTAGGGTGGGGGATGGTAAATGGGGAGTGAAACTAAATGTACACACAAAAAAAGGCATTGTTTTGTGTATATTTTAGCACATTAGGGGTAAATTTTTAAAATAAGTCTTTATAGAATACTATTTTTAACTTCTGAAGAGGCATTTAAAAGTAATATATCTTAAAGATTTGCTGTAATAAAAAAATATTTAATTAAACAAAAGTTCACAAATGTTACCATGCAGCAAAAATTCAATCATTTCTCCTGTCATTATCCTTTTCAGTAACTTATAGACTACTCTTTCTTTATGGGTTAAACATAAATTTCTTGGCCAGGATTTCAGACCAGTCCTAATTCCACCTTTCCCAGTGCCCTCATGTACCAGCCTGTTAGCAGTCATTTGTAGTATCTTATATTCCTCAATACTTACGAAGCAAATCAGATTTACTGAGCACTATTGTAAGGTGCTTATGTAATACAAAAGAAGGTAGTTTTGCTCTTATTTCAGTTAAATTGTTTTTGCAGTTAAATTGTTTTGTTTTCTTAATTTGTTTTTTTTTTATGTATCCTGTCTCCATAGGCCAAGTGGACAGAAACAGTTTTCTACTTTATATTGCCTATAAACCTATAAAGGCGATCTGGTGGCACAATGGGTAAAGCATTTGGCTGCTAACCAAGAGGTCTATAGTTTGAACCCACTAGCTGCTCTACTAGAGAAAGATGAGGCAGTCTGCTTCCATAAAGATTGACAGCCTTGAAAACCTGACGGGACAGTTCTACTCTGTCCTAATAGGTTGCTATGATTTGGAATCGTCTTGATGGCAGTAGGCTGTTTGGGTTGTTTTTAGGCTGGCTGTTCAAACCCACCAGCCACTTCTCAGGAGGAAAACTGGGCAATCTACTTCTATGGTGGTACTGCCTCGGAAACCCAAGCAGGGTTGCTATGAGTCGTATCTGCTTGACAGCAGTGAGTTTGATTTTTTTTTTTTTTTTTGGTTTACATGTTCCTGTAAGTTAATACTGGAGAACAAGAGGATATGTGAGGATATAGAGGTCTTCAGGAAGATGCCACTTACGTTTCTATTTTTAGTTTTTATCTTGATATAAATATACAATTTTTATACTCACAGAACAAACCTAACCATGACTTATTTTTCACAATTTGCAGACTTGATTTCACGTAAGTGCTGTTCCCTGCCCTATCATGTAGGATATTACTTGAAGTGTGCCCTACATGCATCTCCAACCCTCCACCACCATTCCACACATAGGCCCTTATTCATCTGATCTCCCAAATCAGAATTCTTGGAGTTATTCCAAACTCCTTTGCTCCTCTCATTTAATCAGCGATCCTATCTTGTCAATCTTTTTTCTAAATATTTCTCAAATAGACTGATCCTCTAGAATACTCACTGAGAGGAATAAAATGGGAAGCAGTCCCAGGACAGCCACAAGAGATTAATTAATAACAGGCTTCAAAATCAGACATCAGAAGCCCCAGGCTCTAGACTTACTTTTGCAACTGCCTTGCTTTGTAAATTTAGGTGGTAAGTCTCTTAAAACGTTATAATGAAAGACAATTTTTAAAAGAAATACAAAACCATGCCAAAATTCAGAGAAACCATCTTTTTTTAAAAAATATTCAAGTTCTTGACCAACTTGCCTCTACTACATGATATCAAAAGGGTTTAGCAGTTACTCATCCATAGTTTAATTGTTCTGTCATTTCCTAATGCTGCTGATGCAATGATGTTTGCAGAAGGATGGCAAGTTGCTGAGATCACCACATCAGTATGACCTTGCAATTTCTGTACAATCTCTTTAGTCTGGAGGTTCCAAATGTAAACCAGGTTATCCTCTGAACCAGACACAATCCACTTTCCACCAGTAACTGAAAAATTGGCAAATATGCAGTATTTCTCATTCTTATGACCAGTGTATGTCTTCAGGCATCTGCCTCTGCTATAATCCCATAGTTTAATAGTATTGTCCAACGTTGCAGTGAGAATATATTTACCATTTGGAGAAAATTGTACAAAAGAAACAGGAGGGTTATTATCATCAACAAGTGTTTTTAAACACTGACCTGAAGCAGCGTCCCAGATTCTACAGAGACCATCGTAGCTACCTGACACTATCAAGTACCCACCACTATTAAAATGAACAGCAGAAACTGGGTCAGAATGAGCAGACAAAGTCTTGAGGCACTTTCCTGATTTCACCTCCCATATTTTCACACTCTCATCAAAAGATCCTGAAACAATGAGGTTGGATGGTGGGTTGAAATTACAGCAAAAGACATAATTGCTGTGACCCTTTAGTGTTTTCAAACATTTTCCAGAGCTCACATCCCATATCTTTAGAGTTTTATCATCTGAGGCAGAAACTAGACGACTGGAATCTGATGACCACGCAACGTCTGATATTTCCAGACTGTGACCATATAGTGTTTTCTCATATTTTCCATCACAGACTCTCCAAATTTTAATTAGTTTATCAGCAGAAGAACTTGCTAGCCATTCTCCATTAGGACTAAACTTAACCGATGAGACGGCTTCCCTATGTCCCACAAGAGTAAATCTGAGAGCATAGTTTGGTGTTTCAGGCACTTGCTTGCTCCGATTGGCTGTTGAGCCGGCCGGCTCCCCTTCGGCATCTCCTGACACCTGTGTTGCCATGGCTCTGAAGTTCCTAGTCAGTGGACAGGGTAGATGTCCTACGTTGAGCCAGACAGTCCAGTATTTTGGCTTTCTGCCCAGAAAAATGAAGACAAAAACATTGGACTATAAAATAAGTTATTATAATTTTTGTATAGTAAACTAATTTCACCGCACATACTCAATCAGCGCAGCTTGAACTTCAGTTTTTCCTTCCTTCCTCTTTTTTAAGCAAACACTTAAGAAATACTATTAAAAGAGTCTTGTGAACTGTCGGCGACTAAAATACTGTTACGTATTTCTTAATGGATAAAGCCATCAGAAGCCGGGCAGAGCGCGGGGAATCTATCAAAGTATTTTTATACCGCCCCTCCCCATAGCGCCGACATTTTTGAGAACATGAAATCTACAAGTCAGACAGTCAAAACATTAGGTAGTTGAGGATAAATGAATCACAGCTTTAAACAGATTTTAGAAGTTAAGGGAAAACCTGCGTGGAACTGAAATCCCAGGCCCCGGCCTGCAGATACAAGGAGTCTGCAAAGCCGCAGCAATTACTAATCCAGAAGGAAGAGCAGTAGAGCGCATGCGCATAGGGAGCTTTATTGCCTCCCTTACCATCACTTCCGAACCGAGATGACCAATAGGAGAGGCTCTCCTGCGCTTGCGCAAAAGGAGCTGTGGTTATTTTTTTCCGGTTCTGCTTTCTTTACTGCTTCGTCCTGACAAGAAAATACAGGATTGTCTCCGTGGGTCAGTGGGAGGACTTGACTAAGGAGCGTGGCAAGCAGTGTAACTTTCTTTCAAAGAACACTCCTTTGTTTTTGGACACTGAGCGGCAGAGGGAAGGATTGAATTTACAGATACCCCTTAGCCTCAGGGTTAAGCCCACATTTGGCAGGTAAATTGTCCGTACTGCCAGCTTTAAGGAGCTCTGGTAGCATAGTGCCTAAGTCACTTGACTGCTAACCAGAAGGCTGGCGGTTCAAATCCACCAACCACTCCTCGGAAGGAAGGTTGGGCAATCCTACTTCCGTAGTGATACTGCCTCGGAACCCAAGGAGGGGTCGCTATGAGTTGGGGCCCACCCGACCGCAAATAACAACAACAGCCCGCTTTAAGATTTCCTTAAACGTCAAACGTCGTCCACCTAGACGCCAACGACTCTGGCACCGCCTGTGTAAACTCCTGTTCCACAGGTGGCTTTGGTTGTGCTCCCTTCTGTTACGAAGAGTCTGGTGGCATTTAAGGCCTACGTGACCAATGTGGCAATATGTAGGCAAGTTTTCTCGTAGGTAAGGGGACAGTAGCAGAATCTGCTCAGGTTTTAAAACTTGGCCCAGTAAACATCGAGGGCCTTTAAAGACAATGCTAAGATACGGTGACATGGTAATGTGGGGGAAAACGAGCAAACATTTGCTTTAGTACTTCCAAAGAAAAGTAAGGAACTTGGATCTCCAGAAAAGTGCTTAAGACCAGAAAGGGCCAAAGAGAGTTGGTGGAATGAGGTTAGAAATGGGGTGGGGGTGAGCGTTACCCTTAACTAGGCTTTGAAGATCTTTCCCTAGTTTTAAGAGATAATTAATGCTTGTGAAAGTATTACGTAAACTATGTGCCATTCAGATGTGTCTGTCTTTTGAGGCTGGGAAGCAAATTTCTCACGATATTGTCAGTGAGGAATTAAAATGGTATATGAATTTGGAAATAAAGGATCTTCTATAGTATAGGTATTAGGGGAAATTCAAAGTCTTGCCTTTTTATAGAGTTAGGTACACCTTAGTCTTCAAAGAGACTAACCTAACAGGTGTAATTGATAGTTGCAATACAGTTGGCTGCAACTCATGGTGGCCTAATTTATAACTGAACAAAACATTACCAAGTCCTGTGCCAGCCTCACACAAGCACAGGCATAATTGTTAGCTAATGTGGGGCCACCCTGATTAAAGTGACTTCATGTGTTAGAGTAGAACTGCTCCATAAGGTTTTCTGGCTGTAATCTTCACAGAAGCAGATAGCCAGGCCTTCTGTGGAACAGTTGGGCAGGTTAGATTTGCGAACTTTTCAGTTAGCTGATTGAAATTTTACTACTATAGTTTGACATTTAGACAGGAATTGGCCAATTGCTTTAGTCTTAGTGTAAATTAACAATATAAATACAACAGGGTGGTGTTAGGGATGGGGAAGAGCATCTTTAAAACAGTTGAAGCATCTGTTTATATAACTATTGTTGTCATTATTAGGTGTTGTCAAGTTGGTTTCAATGGCATGTACAATAGGACAAAACACTGCCTGGTCCTGTGCCACCTCACTGTCATTGCCACACTTGATCCCATCATCACAGCTGCTGTCAATCCATCTAGTTGAGGGTCTTCCCCTTTCTCACTGACCCTCCACTTTACCAAAGGATGACATCCTTCTCCAGGAAATGGTCCCTTCTGACAACATGACCAAAGTAAGAGACGAAAGTCTGGCCATTCTCACTTCCAAGGAGCATTCCAGCTGTACCACCTCCAGGACAGATTTGTTCATTCTTCTGGCAGTCCATGGGACTTTCAGTATCCTTCACCAACACCACAACTCAAAACTATCAACTCTTCTTCGTTCTTCCTTATTCACTGTCCAATTTTGACACACATATGAGGCAACCAAAAATACCATGGGTTGAGTTAGGTACACCTTAGTCATCAAAGAGACTAATATGACTATTATGAGCTATTAATTAAGGCAAGGCCTCCATGGTGCTCCCATCCGTAACATTTTGAAGAGAAAACTTTTTCCTTCATTGTATCTTAAAGTTTAATTCTAAACTAAACTTACCTCTTCTGAAGTTCTATGTTGTTGTTGTTGTTATTTGCCATCGAGCCGGCCCCGACTCATAGCGACCCCTCCTTGGGTTTCCAAGGCAGAATCACTACGGAAGTAGGAATGCCCAACCTTCCTTCCAAGGAGTGCCTGGTGGGTTTGAACCGCCAGCCTTCTGGTTAGCAGTCAAGTGCCTTAGGCACTATGCTACCAGAGCTCCTTAGGTGGCACAAAAAACTTTAAGCCAAAACGTTGGCAGCTTTAACCCACTCACCCAGAGGCACCTCAAGAGATAGGCCTGGTGGTCAATTTCCAAAAGCCTTGAAAGCCCTGTAGAAGTTTTCGTGGGTTGCCATGAGTCAGAATTGACTCAGCAGCAGTTAACAACAGTGTGATTTTAACTGAGAAGCTTAAAAGTACTCTTAAATTTTCTATCAGTTGGCACTATTTTTTATTAACTTATTAAAAGGTGCTTAGTAAAAGCACCTCAGTAAACAAAGTTTAAGTTTTGATTGTTTCAAAGAATTTAAGTGAATCTGTATTTTTAATCAACTGTTCCATGCACTAAGAGAGTAAATAAAGAGGTGAACTCATAAAGCTGGAACGGGATGTTGGAACTGGAGTCACAGTTGTTGTTAGGTGCTGTCCAAGTTGGTTTTGACTCATTGTGACATTAAGTACAAGGGGACGAAACCCTGCCGGGTCCTGGGCCAGCCTTACAATTGTTGCCATCCTCAAGCCCATCATCACAGCATATCCTTCTCCAGGGACTGGTCCCTTCTGACATCATGACCAAAATGTGTGAAAGGAAGTCTGGCCATTATCGCTTCTGAGGAGCATTCTGGCTGCACTCCAATGCCAATTTGTTCATTTTTTAGCAATCAATCTACATTGAATATTCCTTGCCACTACCACAATTCAGATGCATCAGTTCTTTTGCAGTCTTCCTTATTCATTGCCCAGTTTTTGCATGCATATAAGGCTACTGAAAAATACTATGGCTTGAGTCAGGTGCACCTTAGTCTTCAAAGTGGTATCTTTGCTCTTAAACTCTTTAAAGAGGTCTTTTGCAGCAGATATGCCCAATGCAATACATTGTTTGATTTTATCACTGCTGCTTCCATAAGTGTTGACTGTGGATCCAAGTAAAATGAAACCCTTGCCACCATCAGTCTTTTCTCCATTTATCATGATGTTGCTTTTTGGTCCAGTTGTGAGGATATTTGTTTTCTTTACACTGAGGTATAATCCATACTGAAGACTGTAGTGTTTGATCTTCATCAGTAAGGGCTTAGTCTTTGATTTTCATCAGTAAATGGTTCAAGTCTTCACGTCCACAAGCAAGCTCATGTCATCTGCATGTCACAGGTTGTTAATGAGTCTCCTCCAATCCTAATGCTGGGTTCTTCATATAGTTCAGCTTCTCAAATTATCTACTCAGCATACAGATTTAATTAGTATGATGAAAGGATACAACCCTGACATAAACCTTTCCTGATGTAAAAACACACAGTAGCCCCTTGTTCTGTTGGAACAGCTTCCTCTTGGTCTATGTACAAGTCCTCATGAGCACAATTAAGTGTTCTGGAATTCCCATTCTTTGCAATGTTATCCATAATTTGTTATGATCTACAGAGTTGAATGCCTTTGTATAATTAATAAAGCACAGGTAAACATCTTTCTGGTATTCTTTGCTTTCAGCCATGATCCATCTGACATCAGCAATATCCTTCGTTCCACATCCTTTTCAGAATCTGGTGTGAATTTCAAGAGGTTCCCAGTCAATATACTGCTGCAACCGTTTTTTAATTATCTTCAGCAAAATTTTACTTGCATGTGATTGATACTGTTTGATAATTTCTGCATTTTATTTGATTACCATTCTTGAGAATAGGCACATATACCAACCACTTCTTGATACCTGGTAACTTTTATTTACAAATACCATCAGGAACTTATGTAAAGAAAAAGCTATGAATATATTATTTCAATAGTGGGATTTTGATATTAACATGTATAGTAACACTGTAGTCCTTATGAACTAGGACTAAAAATTTCATAGTTTATTTCAGGGGAAGGGGGGCATCAGTGACTGTGTAGTGTATGTGAGCAGGGTTTCCTAATACAAGTTCATCCAAATGGCAGAAACCATAATGCAACATTTACATTTTGGGTTTCAAGCTAAATTCCTTACAGGTCCTCTTTGTGAATTTTTTTTTCTGCCCTTAATCTTCTTTGCTGCAAAAGACCTCTTTAAAGAGTTAAAAAGCTGTCAGTCTGAGGCCTAGGGTGCACCTACCCAAAACAAAAAACCCAAACTTATGCCA